TGTTAAGATTTGTGCATGGGAACCTGTATAGCATTGTATAGTATCCCACACCTTTGTTGGAGCCCATGAAAACGCATGGCTACGCAGCGCCTCTCTTTGTGGTTCAAGAAAAAAAGCGTGACCGCTTAGAGTCTCACTGTTTAGCTATATCACAGAAGGGCACCGTATTAGGGCGGCTGGCGGCAAGCGCATGGTTCTTGTCAACCCGGCCAATCGAGTCCTCTACGAGTTTCGGGCTTACCTAGGGTTCAGCAGCGCCGGGCTAACCGACCAGGACGAGCAAATCCGCCCAAGCCATGTTGAGCGTGACAAGCTTCTGTGTGACTGGGTAGGTGAGCAGGATCCGGACGTGCCCAAACCGGAGGATATCTCCACGGTGGAGCAGGCAGATGCTGTGCAGAAATTCATGCAGCAGCACCACGCATTGCTAGCCCCCTTCGTCGATATCTACACGGCCACGGCATGTGCTGGGTCTACATGGGGCGGTGGACCTTGGCATTGTGGATCGCGTTGGGACGTTTACGGAACGGGGGGAGGCAGCTCATCAGCGCCTCGCGGCCGCCATGACAACGGGCACTGGTCGACTTCTCGTGGTCTCGCCGGCGCACGTTACCGGCTTACTTGCAGTTGCCCACATGCATGCTCAGCTGCACGGGTCCCTTATGCAATGGTCAGATTTCTTGGCACGTAAGGGACTACCGCCAGCTTGGTCAAAGCATGGAGTGGATGAGGAACAAGTCATGGAAACATTCCACAGCCGCTGGCACATTCACGAGGGCCCGGAGCTCATGGAGGCCACTGCCTTACTGTTAGCAGTCGTGGGAGACGACACCACGGAGAACAGAGCGCAGCTGCTGTTGCGTGGACCTGATCAGTGTTGGACAGGGGAGAGAGGAGAAGCCGGTGCCTGCCGCCTCTTTTATCCGACCTTCGACACCACCCTGCCCCTTGCGGTTGCGCTGGATGTTCGCGATTGTCGTTTTTCGCTATACTGCCTGCGGGAGTGCAAGGGGCACGAAGCCGCACCACCTACACCTACACGGCTCTATGATGCGTTGGGGCAGCCGCACTTTAGGTAGATACTCAGTCGGGGAGAGGTACGTGCAGGGGCAGTTACTATGGATGCTGAATGTCAAGGCGTACAATGGTACCTTGCCTCTCTGCCGGGAAGTTTTTACCTGGCACACATCGCTAATGATCACACCACGCCGGAGTTTATGCGCTTCCTTCGTCTTCGACTACAAGCCTTAGTGGGCCCTGATTTCGATGCCAAATCATTTGTTTTCGGTGACTTAGGAACCCGCTCGACAGGCATGGCAGGGGCTGGCTATGACGGCGTGAATGGACGGGCGACGGTAGGACGCCCCACAAGTAGCGGAGCCGGTGTAAAGGAGGACCCTACTTTCGCTGACGAACTCTACAGCGCAGGGTGTGACCGTGTCTTTGTACCGACCCGGTGGGAGGATGACTTGAAGCCGCTCATGTCGGCCCTGGATGTTCAACCAACACTTCACCGCCCAACCCTCAAAGGCTTGGCTAGCAACACTGCGCCTACTGATGACGACTCTACCCTTACTGTGCAACGAGAAATTCTGCAGATTTGGAGGGAGAAGGCGCAAGCTCCTCCGCCGCCCCCAACATCGCCTTTGGTGCATGTTACACATCTCCGCGGCATTCTGCCCTCTGCGTTGGATTGCATGACGCTGCTGTCCTTACCGATGTCCCTGAAAACGGGATCGCTTCGCGTCAACGTTGACCAGTTCGGCTCCGATATTGGGGACTTTGCAGACAGAGCAATGAGACTACGGTGCTGCACTGAGCAGGAAGCCTGGCGGATTTGCGTTAGCCCGCTGATCGCTATTTCGGCGGCGCTGGCCGAGCTTTGCGAGACTTTGCAACAGCTCCCTGAGGACAAGGCCTTCGACCTGTCCTGGCCAGAGCTCGCACGACCACAAGTTTGGTGGTGGCTGCTTGTAGACGAGATCGTTGCTCAATTGCAGCATGCGGCAGAAGCCAGTCAAGCCGCACCGCTGGCGCGAGATGCCAGCTTTTTCGTCATAGCACTCGGAGGGCCAGAGCGGCATGCCTCTCCTTTGCAGTATTGCGGAGCCCTGATGCCCATGCAGGTGCTGATATATGTGCTCCGGCGCCTTGTGGACAACCCGGCGGCTTATCCGCATCTGCAAAGTCTTGAGGTCTTCAAGGACACAGACTGCAGAGC